TATATATATATATATATATATATTACATACCCTATATACAGTCCAGGATCACAGAGTTAGCACAGCACGGCGATGTCGTGTGCACATCGATGTTTGAAATAATGTCACTGTTGCGGTTTAAGAAAGCAGTAAGAACCATCCTAGCAATGTCCAGGATAATTGAACTACGATGGCGATGGAAGTCCAAAATTAATCGAATCGCTCTTTCATCTATAGCGTTAATCTATAAAAATACATTTGGAAACTGTGTTTGGAACGAACAAGTTTGATTTCCAGAGTAGTTTCGTGCCATACAAATGTGGCACCGCCCTCCCCCGTAATCTTTACTAATATAATAACGACAATAATGATCACAAAGTTATTAAAAAGTATATAATTATTAATTCCACTGATGAGATATTGCATTATCGTGTTTATCTGTATAATAATTCCATAAATGGATCGCACTATACATAATACGGACATCGCTAGGCGTCGCCGAATAATCTGCTTGGACAATTGTGAGGTAACCGTTATTTCTTACTTGGATCACAACGTTTCGTTATTGTAGAAAGAAAATTCCACAATGCACCGAAAAACCTTTCGTCGTCCGAGCGAGGAACTTTGGGATCGAGTTCAGGAGCGAGAAATACAATCATTTCCAGACTTGTATCAGACCGTCCGTGCTGCCGGTCAGAATGTACGTGTTCGTCATCGAAACGGCGGATATCGTGTCGTGATGGCCGGAAGGTGGGGTTTCGGGACCGCTTTCCTCCATATTTCTGCTGCTTCCGCTGAAAGACGGGGTGGAATCGTCGCCTACCAAGGTCTCTCGCACAACGTTCGATCCTTCTATTAAACGTTGTCTGTGGAACGAACAGAAGTTTCGAGTTTAACCATAAATTTCTCCTACTACAATATTAATAAAAGGAGTTAACATAGAACATTAGATTAAAAAGTTCAATTCGATTTTCGATAAATGATGTCACAGACATGTAATATAGACGACATTACTAATAATGTTCTGTCAGCAAAACATTTGCGAAGAATCGTAGATAACGACAATCGCAAGATTGGTAAATAATTCGTTTCTATCAAGTGCAATTAAATCAAATTTGACTCAAAGGTTGAATTGAATTTTTCAACTGACTCAATATGTCACGTGTATTTTTGAGACAATTAAGAATTCTTCAAAATTTCTAATAATAAATGAATAACAAGAAAGGGGTCTTTTTCTTGTAAGGTTTAGATATAAGTGTGTTGAATGAAACGTTTAATCACCAATCGATTATACTGACTCATATTTCGACGAGTTCGGTCGACGTACGACGTCGTTGGCGGCGGGTAAAGCGATGTAAGACGCGGTTGGCATCTTCAAGTCCCAGAAACGCAACTTCATATCGGTGCCGCCGGCTAGAAGGAAACCCGAGCAGTCGATGCATCCGGCGTATAGAGCACACACGCTGTTACCGTCTTGGGTGTTGCTTAACGGCGGGTTCTTTGATGCCCACAGAACCATCTGTCGATGATCGGTCTCCAGATCCCACATAGAAATCTCGTTATTACCTTGCACCGCCGAAATGATCCACGAAGGTTCCGTCGGATGTGTGATTACCTTTCGCACTCTGTGACCTAAAGGTGACGAGAACAATTACATCTAAGTTATGCGAGCAAATAATATATTGGGTTACGTAATAAGTAATTTTGGATTTTCTAAATAAAAAAGAAACGTTATATGTCGTACGACATGTAAAATATAACGACATAACATATTATGTCGTTATATTTTATGAAACAATGTATGCAAAAGATCATAAATAAGATAATAAAACAGAACATACGCTGTTTTATAAAATTATAACAACATAATATAATCATTTCATTTTGCCTGAAAAATCTGAAATTGCTTATTATATCCAATGTACTATGCAAACATTTCAGGTTTAAGTAAAATAAAAAGATGAAGGCTCTTCTAATATATAATCAAACATAACACTGGGTCAATAAATGCTAATGCACGGATCAAGTGCAATATTATATGTATAAAGTGTCCAATGCCATAAGGATAATATTTATTATAAAGATAAAATCCATACATTGGACAGGTAAATAGAAATTGACATCAAATACAGCATTTTATAGGCCTCTGTTATTTTCATTTCATCAAGTTTAATAACATAAATTAGATTCTAATAAAATAAAATAATTTACCATTTCGATGCTTGATGCTCGTTATCGGCAGCTGAAATCTTAGATCCCAACAGGTGTGAATACCTGAGCTCGTGCCGAGCGTCAGCCACTGCTGATGACTATTCACACAGAACGACGTGATAACTCCGTGCTTCAGGTCGTTCTCCAAGCGCCACGTTGTACCGGGACATCGTAAATCCCAACCTACCAGCGATCCGTACAACGAAGCATACACGAGAACCGATTGCGAGCCGGAATCTAAATACTGAAGATCGACAGCGCAACCTTCTTCCTATTAAATCGATCATGACATTTTTTCTTTGAAAAAGTACTGTGCCTCAAATATCCGTTATTGCAAGAAAACTTGTTATCACCTGAAGATCCAATTGACGAGTGCCGATCACGCTCATTTTACTGGAGTTCGGCTCGATCCGAACTACAAATACTGTTCCGGATTGACTCGCCGAACTTGCCAAAGATTGCCCTTGATCGCACACGGTTAAACCGACCAGTGGACCTCCTCTGTGCATGTACGTTTGCCTGTTCAAAGCATAATATGAAAAATTAGCATCACGTTAAATACAACAACAAACAACGTGTAACGATAATTTGGATTCCACTTAATCAAATTTGATTTTTATACAATCAGACGTTTTCTATATAAAAACGTATTTTCTATATAAAAACGTTCTCAGTACAGATTGTTAGATTGAAAAAGAAAGGAGGAAGTTCTTTACCTAGAACGATTAGCAATATTCCGTCCTTCCATTTTGCTGGCGTCCCAGATCTTAATGCATCCATCTGAGGAACTGCTCGCAAATAGAGAAGTGTCCACTATCGAGACCAGCCTGTTCACCGCAGCTCTGTGCTCATGGAGATGTGCGACTGGAACTCCTCGGGGTCTCCAATCGTTTGGTAGTAATCTCTTTGAGCCTTTTCATCAACATCAATAATATATCAGATGGTTAAAAGTCGCAACAATTTTGTCTCAAAGAATTTCACAATGCATCCTATATCCAATAGTAGAATTTATTTTTTTAGTAATTCTTAAGAGATAGATTTTTCTATTAAGTGCGAGATGCGTTGCGATATTCATGAAAATTAAAAAAGTGCTGTACTAATATTATAAAGAATTATATTATGATAAAGAATAGATAAACAGACGAGGCAAATAAAAATTACATTTCTATACATAAATTACACCGTGTTTTGTATCGTAGAATTATTGCATTAATTATATGTAAGCATAGGCTTTCGTAAAGTATACAACTAAATAAAAAATAGATTAAACATGAGCCAAATGCAGATGTCAATGCGAATATTTACATTATGGGAAGTTAATTTTTGATAGCATTAACGCACGTGCCAAATATTTTTCCGCGCTTGCAACGTACGCCGTGAATCTGTCTTCCATTATTATACATGCATAATGTAATATATTCGCATTAATATCTGCATTTTGTTTTTACTCGTTTTATTTATTCTTTATTTAATTGTATACTTCGAAAGAGAGCTGGTTTTGTATATAATACATGTTATAATAATTCTGTGATACAAAATATGACGTAATTCATGTAGGAAAGTGGGATTTTTATTTACTTGTTTCGCAGGCGACGTTATTGGCCCAATGCTGCGCCCTCAATGCTGCCGCGTGCTGTTCTTGCTTGCGGCACGTCAATTGTCGTACTTCTAGCCGGCATGGAGCGCATCTGTCTGCAAAACCACGCACGTCTTAGTACCTTTTTATGAGTGCTGAAAAAACACTTCAACAAACTGATATAATTCGAATGTATCCTCTAATTTCACTTACACTGTATGTAAGACCGCTCGTGGAGGGAATGGTCGTTCATGAAGGAATTTATACTGGCCATGTCCGGTAGGCAATGCTGCGGAGACAAGTGAATGTCTCCACTGTGTATGCTCTGGCTGGGACTGCCGCTGCTTCCGGTCATGTCCGACATTCTAACAATAGCGTGCTGCAGCGCACGATTAAGATTATTATCGATCAGCAGAACGACATGAAAGACGAAGATTCATCGATGTTACCTGACTACTGTCTTGAGCTGCGAACATCGTGCGCCATTCTTGATTCATCGTCGCGTACGTGCCAACACTGTCCGACGTTCTCCGATCTGACCTCTTGAAAGGTGGCAAGGCTAAATCGCTCTTGGTGTCAGGATATAATATGACGATATGATGTCTTATCCGATCCTTTACCGTACCTAGCTCCAGCTTACCGTCCACGGGCTTGGCGATATTCTGCTTGGTGTCCGCGGAATTACGATACTTGTTGATCTTTGCCAAATGCAATCTCATCATCAACAACTGATCTTCAACCGTCTCCGTCATCGACTCTGAGCTCAGTCGTCTGAAAAGCTGTGGAAAACTGCTCGAATCTTCTCTCTTTTCTTTGAAACATTGCCTCAAAAGTGCAATATATTGGGTTTTGTATGTGCGTATTAATAATCGACGTCACTTACGTTTCGCAATGAAGTGCTCATGGCGTTGTATTGCGGTACCATGCCTGTCACAGCCTTCGTTCTAACCGCTTGTCTCTGTTCCAGCACTTGGAATAACTCCTCCACGTCGTTATACTTCACCACCGAGTCGTATACTATTCTGGGTATAGGAGGGACGAGGGCTTCCAACAACAAGATTTCCTTCTCTATTTGGATCAACGAGTGCTTCAGATATGGCTGAATCATTGTCTGAACCTTGCACTGGACGTCCACCACGTTCAGAGTTCTCGCCGCTGCGGATATGAAGCCAACGGTCGCGTGAAGTATCCAAAGATTTGGATGAACCTGCGCAAGATAGTAATATGCAAATTGCTCCTGTTGACTCAACAATTATCACGCGACTGTGATATTTTTTATCTAATCCCAATATATACAGTAAACTATCAGTAATATAACACAACAATGTTTATCAACTCCCCATTCAACTATGTAAACGCAATATAACATTTGTATTATACAATAGTTACGTTGTTCAGTGAGAAATTATAACAATAATGTAATATTATTGTTAGTTGGTATTTATTGAGATATTATTACTATATAATATGCTATTTTACATCAAATAATATTATTACTATGTTATATACATACCAAGAATACCATAGTTTCTCCTAATAACTGATAGAGAGCAGATTTGTGCAATAGACCTAATTCTGTAAGTGTCGCCATAGCGTTTATAGCCTTTGCTATTACGAATTCTTCAGGATCGGTTAGACCTTGCTGTAGAAGTGGTAATAGTATAGGACTACTGTGCCAACCTACATAAGCAGCAACACCGACTATGCATTCAAAGAAAGATCCTCTTAATTCCTTGTCTTCCTTGTCATTTAAGAACGTAATCACGTGACTGAGCAAAATGTCATTAGCCTTTTGCTTGCCAAAAAACACGCACAATTTATTTATTCCATTTTCCATTAGAGTCTGTTTCACTAAATTCTGCGAGTCTGTCAACAGCATGGACACTGATTGTTGTACCTAGACGAGTCGGAAAGAGATAAGAAAATAATAAAAATATGTGAAGAATCGTTAAGATAAAATACGATAAAAGTTGAAATAAAACTTGATAGTCTCAAAGAGATAGAAAATTTGACTTATAAAGAAATCATACCATCTCATGCAAAGTTTGCAACTCGCTATCGTAACTGGGTTTTGGTCCTTCTTTGTTGCCCAAATTGGACAAATGAGTATTCTCAAGGTAACGTAGGGCGATATGCGCCAGATGCGCGATATTCTCCGCGTAAGCTGCTCTGACGATTACTGCCTCGTCTTGAGTTATTTGCGACAAGCCTGGCAGAATGTATTCGGGAAATATGTTCACGTCCGAAGGTGGTATCGATTTCACGAGATGCAAACACTTCGTTAAAGTGTGTATTGCTGATACTCTTACTCGCGGTGCCGGATCATGAACCAGAAGAAACTATGCAAGAAGAAAATAGTATATTTCCTTCTTTATTGGTGATTTTAAAGAAATGACTAATAAGAGTCCTGCTGTAGTTATTAGTGTGCAGCTTTCATATATTGCATAAAAAATGACTAAAAAACATCTATCGTAATAACAATAGTTTGCATTTCAAGATCAAACATCTCTATTTAAAAAAATATAATTTTATTTCCTATATATTTAAAAAATACTTTTTTATATTTAAAAAAATTGAATTTTATATTTATAATAAACATCTTTATAGATTTATTTATGCTTATAATATTATAATATGATTCGTGCATTGGCTCTTATTGATCCTTAATTATTCTCGTTTTGATCACATATAAAAGGAGCCTTCTATTTTAGTTAAATATCATTTCTTTTTATAGTTTTTAGTTAAATATCATTTCTTTTTATAACTATAGTTTATCAAACACAGATTTCAAAAAGAGAACAATATTTCAATATATCTTATTTTCGATAATTTCTAAAAATTAGCATCTGTTCATAACTTTATTACTTACAATGTAAGGTAATATCCTATCAAGAATTGTCTCGTCGGAAACATTCCCAGCAAGTTCCAGTAATATTTCTAAGCTGTGCAATTTAGACTGCGAATGATGCAGTCCTCTGATGCAAGATGTGACGAGTTGAGTCACGATAACGAGTCCTTCTAGAATTTCAGTCGACACGAGAACTGGTTTCTCAGATTCCGTGTCGCACACTTGTTTACGATCCTCTTCGGATGACTTAAACTCCAACTCCGCTTCTATTTGAACGTCATTTTCAATGTCTTGCGCTGTACTCCTCGCGTCGACCTGACCCAAGTCGTTCTTGTCGAAACTTTGATCACTGTCAATCTCCACCATTGTATTCTCTTCGCTATGACCGGAATCGTCTTTGATTGATTCTACATTACTCTCATATTGAATAGTTTTCACGGTTTCCGCGGGTTTTATCAAGCTCGTTTTCATCCGTTCATTTTCCTCCGCGCGCAATATACTGATAATATTACCAATATCCTTCTTTAATCTATTTATCTTCTCATCTGGCGATAAAATGGGTGCGGCAGAAAAAATGAGCATGTAGGATTGCAAGAAGGAGTAAAAATATTCCGGAAATATCGTGCCGCGAGCCTGAGACAGATAAAGCTCCGCGCTCTTCCTATTTGCCGGATTTCTTTCCAGCATTGAGTCAAGCAACTCTCGTATTCCAGGGTCGTCGATACTGTCTAAGTGCTTGCTCACCGAATATTCGTTGTTCCTGTATGCTTAATATTTTAAAACGGATTTAATAATTAGTAAAACTTTTTACATTTACAGAGCTGGCTTTCTATTATACATTTTTATATTCTATTATGTTGTTTTAATCATTCATTATTCTTAATAACAGCTCTCTAATCAATGCAGATTGATTAGAAAAAATTAAGTTTTATAATTTAAACAATGGTGAATAGGACACTTCTAATATCTAAAGCCAGTGCTGTGAATGTTAGCAATTAAATTAAATGTTATACATACATACATACCCAAAAGTTGTGAAAAATCAAACGGTGGATGGCCTTCGTTATACAATTCTGTTAAAGCACAGCCTGCAGAAAAGATATCCATCATGGGATGCAAATCACCCGTTTTCACTTCTTGCTCTGGTAATAACAATGTATTGTTTAATTCCGAGGATAATGTTTTTACAAATCGTTCTGGTGCTATGTAACATGTTCTGAAAATATTAACAAAAAATAATTACTTCATTATAACGTAGTAGTATCCAACAAACACCAACCAACAGTAACATTACATCAATGTTATAATTTTTTACTCAACTGTAACTGTTATGTGCAAAATGTTATATTACACTTACATAGCTGAATGGGAAATTATAACATTCATGTAACTACTGTTAGTTAGTATTTACTGAGTTATTGATATATACAAAAAGGTAGGATAATGACAACTATACAAAAGACACCTATTAAAACTTTGTATATGTAGAATGCATATAACTTAATAAACTATATATATTACAACTCTACATATAAAACTCATACAGTTTTGTTATCTATATAATTGACCATATTTTTTTCTAAGAAAGACATAAAAGAAACATAAAAGAAAGAAATAAGGTTTTTACCTTCTTCTAGAAGTATCAAAGAAGTATGAGAAATCTGCAGGATTATCCTCTGGTAAATATGTTGGTTTAAAACTAGCAAAATCTGTGAGTAATACCCAATTCCAACTGGTTATCATAATGTTCTCTAGCTTGATGTCACCATGGCAAACTCCAAACTGTAAAAACAAAAACATCTTTATTATTTTGGAAAATCATATACGATTGGATATTTAAATAACCAATATATACCTTATGAGCTTGATGAAGAGCATACAATACTTGAAAAGTGATCCACTTTTTTTCTATGGTTGTTAAAAATGGCCTAGTGCTGATCCTGTCATAAAGAGAATATTTGACATATTCCCGCATTATTGAGCCTGCTTTTTCTGTGAGCTAATGCAAGTATACAATTAATTCTAGTCATGTAGTTAAAATAAATAATATATACATACATCCATATCTATTCATTGCTGTAACGCTTACAATCATTCGCTGAAATGGCAGGCAGTTGACAGCTGAAGCTAATTTGGATCTTATCTCTTCTAGCTTATCCTTGTAGGCTGATAATGACAATGTTGGGTCATGAATTACAAAGACCTTCACTACTATCAAACCCTCCTGGCTGCGGGCCCGTGCTACTTTGAAAAACCTAGTACTTCCTAAACTGCAATTGACAGGGGATTCAATAAATTAGTTTCACATTATTCAGTACTATCTCAAAGCTATTTTGTATTGTATAACATTTTCTCAATATTCTTTTTGACAAATATGTCATCATATCAATGTGTTATTGATATTGTTGTCTTAACATTAATAGAACATAATGCTAGCTTAATGAGAACTGTATTGCACGACATACTGATGAAGTAAGGATGGTTAACTGCATAATGGAAGATTGTCAGCAAACAACAGTGTTGTATGTATTAAGCAGCATTAATTATAATATGGTTATCAGTAACATCATGAGTGGCTCGCAACGTGATATCTTTCTTATCATACACCAACAGCAGTTTGACATGCAGCTTACTGCTTTGGTATACAACTGGCAGGGGATGTGCAAAACGAAACGATTTAATCGCACTTACTTTACGTCGAACAATAAGTCGCTGTGATCTGTTAGATAGTGTTCCACCGGATATATTTGGCTGGGCGCAATGCCCACCAATTGATTACCCATTTTGATAAGATGACAGAAGAGGAGCTTAGATAAAACTGAAGCGTTCGGCGTTCATTTTGTACCGACTTCGCGTTGTACGGACACAGTGCAGCCAGCTTGTTCACCAACACTCAAATCTAGCGCTTTTTTTTATTTACATTTATCACACCTGTCGCGCACTATATTGTGCTACTTCAGACGAACGCGAAATTTCAAAGACTTTCCGTGTAATATTGCAATTTTTTACATTTGACATTATTTTAACAGATATTTATGGAAAAAAAAACACATACGATTTCTAGCAATAGCAGTTGAAGGATTTTGAGAAAAAGCCGTAAGGTACCTTTAAATAGGAGCGTCCAAGCGTTAAAGCGGTAGCCAATCGACGTGCCACTTTCCGCAAGTATACTTTTGGGACCTAACACGTTGATTGGCTAAAGGCTGGTTTATGATGGCCGTAATCCGTTAACTTATGCCGGAGCCGTAAAAAATTGACCAATCATAGTCGAATTATAGAAGAATAATTGACTGTAATTAGTCAATTTTTTACGGTTCCGGTATAAATTAACGGATTACGGCCATCATAAATCAGCCTTAACGCTTTAACGCTCAACGCTCCTATTTAAAGGTACCTTAAAAGCCAAATCACACGCGATTGACGATTGACAATTAAAGATTAGATTTTAACGAATCAACAAGCTTCAGCCTTGGCTTGCTTTGTTCCAATTGGTCAAGTTCCAATCTTTAATCGTTAATCATCTATCGCCAATCGTTAATGTGATTTGGCCTTTAGGCATCTTAATAAGAAATCAAAATTCAGTTTGCTTTCTAGAGCTTCTTAGTTAGAATCCCTAAGATTCAATAGAATTCCCTAGATCCCTCAGATTCTCATTGGATATCGTATAGTCACCAAACGCAGTATGAATTCTCTATTATTTTCAGGCTGTGTTCCAAAATTCTACTCGGCGAATAGAGTAACATTCAATTAACCAATCATAATAAAGAATCTTAGTTCTCTTTGTTGTGATTGGTCAACTAAATGCTACTCTACTCATCGAGTAGAGTTTTGGAACGCAACCTAAGTGCCACATGTTCTTCCTAGGAACGTTTATCAAGAAGGAAAAATTAAAAAAAATCTAGATTGGCGCTGAAGTGACCAGAAGTGACAAGATGGCACGTCAGCAGCAGGACATCGACGAACTTTTTGACGTTAGAAATCATTTTTACATCGGTAATTATCAGCAATGTATCAACGAGGCACAGAAGATCAAGGTAAATGTCTCATTAATTAAATTCGTTATCGGTCCAATACCACACGTTACTTCGTTTTAATTTCTGACGTGAGCAGCAATCATTTGTCCTTAGCAGACGCTCTTGCACGTTATAGCACTGACGTTTCTCCTTAAAATTACTCTAATTTTATAAATTAATCATATGTGATTATGGGAGAATAATATTTCACAGAATTCATCTTCTTTAACTCAGAAATAAGGAAATTAAATAATCAGAAGTATGACATGATATTCGTTTTTAAAATGTGCTGCATGTATATATAACAGTACTTGTGTGCCAGATCTGAGGAAATTTTTCAGATATCACAAACTTTTTATGCTTACAGCATATTATATATTCAAAAAACATTTGTACATCTACTTTCATTTCTTAGAAAATATTTTCAGTAATATTGTAATAAAAAGTTGTCTGTTATAAAGTTTTCACTTTAGAGCGAAACTAACTCTCTAAATTCTTTAAATCTATATATGTACAAGAGAGAGGATATAAATTGCCTAATGTTAATATATCTGTTACTTTTTATATTAGATAAAAATTTATGAGAAATAAATTGTGTAGTTAGAAAGATTGACTGAAAAAAACATTTATCTCTCATACAATTTATTCCTTATATATCTTCCTCAAATATAAAAACAACAGAGATGTTTTAGAATCTAATGTTAAAATAATCAACAACCAATTTGTCCCCTACCTGGTTCTTTCTGTAAATTCTAATTATATCATCTTTAAAAAAAAAAAAAAAAAAAAAAA